CATATTATTAAAATAATTATAATATTATATTATTATAATATCATATTATATGATAAAATAATAATATTAGAGTTATTAATATAATTATGATATTATTTGTTACAATATTACTATTATATTATATTATATTATATTATAGTACGAGTCTGAATTTTAAATTTTATTAGAGGTATTATGGGCATTATTAAAATTTCATTAATTGTACTATATTGATTATCGCACAATCTAAAAATTAAAGTTGTCTTTAGACTGCTTCTAATTTTGACTGTAGATTTTTGAAAAATTCTTCAAAAATCACTTTCAAGGAGATTTATCAAACACTTAAATTAACTTCTGCTACCGGCAGAAGCTGATTTTGAAAAGAAAAGCAATACCAAATTAAGTCAATAACGTGCATTAGATTGGTCTAATTTGCAGCTCTAGAAAAGAAAGAATATGAACCCATTCCCAACAAACAGTTTGTTGTTGATGAGCTCTAATCTAGTTTATTTTTTCTTTTGTTTTTGAATGATTGAGGCCTCGTTCGTTTCGCTGATTCGAATTTAGAATTCGAGTTGAGATATGATTTTATGTGAGAGCTTTTTACTGTAGCAAAAAAGTTAGATGTGACTGTTTGTGAGAGCTTTTTACTGTAGCAAAACTCGAATTCTAAACTCGAATCAGCGAAACGAACGAGGCCTGAGATTGATGAACTTAAACCAATGGTAAAGATCAATTGAGCAATTTTATCATCGAAGTCCGTGATTCTTAATTCTAATGTTTAAAATTTAAATTTTTTGTGAGAAAAAAACATTGTAACAGAATCAATAATTTAAGTTTGAGTATATAAAACAAACGAATCCCCATTATTTTACCTCAGGCAAGTGATGCCTCATCATCTCAAGGGTGTAGATATAATAAGCTCATTCAACCCTGAGGCGAGATTACAACACTAATTGGCAAGTCCTTCAACGGTAATACCACCTATCAACATATTTATGACTATTATATCTTATTAAAATCACATCAAAATAAAAAATATACCACCTATCAATACATTTATGGGAAACAGACGGTTTACGATACAATTTTTATACCACCTATCAATACATTTATGTAAAACAGAAGGTTTATGATCCAGTTTTTATTGCTAAAAAACAAAAACCCACTGGTACAATTTTCAAGCCTTATCATAAAAGTCTCCTATTTTAGTTACAATCACTTTAAAATCAACTTCTTATTAGTTCTTGCGCACTCCTTCAATTTACTTAAGTAACACCATGTGGTTTTCCGCCTGCTATAGTCGCGTTTAAACCACCTATTTCATAGAGGGATTTACTACCACAAGGTCGAAGGAGAAGAATAGCAATAATTAGTTGGGAAGGATACACGATGAGAGAGAAATTTCACATGTATTTTCTTGGACCAGCTTTGAGAGCCTTTCACCCATACGAACCACGGAACCAGTACTAGTCCTAGCCTTCTAACAAGGATGACTCATTATATCTAGCTACACAGCCACAAAAACAAAAAGTGGTCAATAATATTTCATGCGACCAAGGATTTTATGAAGAAAAAGTCACGGAAAGTCCCTCACTGAAGACCAATTATAAAAGTAGCTGAATTGCTAAGACAATGTTGACCAAATAGCAATACAAGGGGTATTAAGTAATCGTAAATACCAGGCAGCAACACTGCAAAGGGACAATGACGAAGATGGTGTATCTGATAGGAGTCCCAACCTAAACAATTCCACTATTCCGGCAAAGAAAACCTAAATAATTCCACTAGAACTGCGAAACAACCAACCAAAACTTAGCTTCAAGTTAAACCAATAATCTAACTCCACTTTTTCTTTTTCCTCTTCAGATTTGCATACAAGTTACCGAAAAATAAAGACAAGGACGCACACTTGAAACACTAATTGGACTTCTTATCCCATGGTCTGACCGGCTTTGTTTTCAGCTAAACCGTTTCGGCGCACCCTAAAGGCATAGATCAGAAAACAAGAAGAAAAAAAAAAGAATCAGTAGGAAGAAAAGGAAGAAGGTACAAAACGTGGGAGGCAAGAAAAGAAGAAGGAACCAAAATTTTAAGAAACAAATGCTTCATCAGTCTATTGAGCACTGAGCCTTGCGCTCCCTGCACTGCAGGCCTACAAATTGCTGCCACTTCACGAAAGAATAATCAGTCCCAACTTGATATCATATGGTGACATCAAGGTTATCATTCTATAGCATGCTTAAAAGACTAAAAGGTTTATTCCCTGCTAAGGTTTTTTTTTTTTTTTTTTAATTTTCTTTTTGAAGTTTTAAATCTGGATATGTGCACTAACCACCACACCTGAGAATTATAGCACGCAAAGAAGATTGCAAATACAATAAAAATAAACAACTAACGAAGTTTCCAGCAAGCCATGAGACATGCGTTCTGCATTAGCAGGGGAAGTCATAAAAAATAATGTCTCCGAGAAATGCGCTTTACATGCCCTAAAAAGCTGTAAAGACAACAAGGGAAGACATAACACAGTCAGATTCAGTGGATGACTTGCTTGAAAGTTGAAAGCAATCTGTATAACTAATTGTTTGTCAACACCTGAACACCCCCCAAAACAAAACCAAAAAAGAAAAGGTAAAACAATTTCAAATCAAATGCTCAAACTAAGGGGAAAATGTCAGCTCAAATAGCTACTCCTAAGGTTAATCAAACAACTAAAACGAACATTGTCCATCCAGCCTGACCCAGGAACCCTAATCCTGTAGAGTACTAGTGACCTTCTGCCTATGCTCGAGTTCATTAACCTTTAAATGGAAAAATCTGGCTTTCAATCTATCGAGCAAAAATTCATGCCAAAAGCTCCATGCTTTCTTTCTACCCCCACATCTCACACCTCACATCAATAAAACAAAACTCGAGAATTTCAACACAATTCGTCAATCCAGTTCAAACCACCAGCTTTAACAAACTTCCAATGCATCCATATGAGCAATGCCAGATATTATTGACAATAACTAATCAGCAATTACTTTCCCAGACATAATGCAATTGACTATCGTATAAAAGTTGTGCTTGTTAAGTCACAAATCAAGAACCACAATTACTAATTTACTACATTCAGCATCAAGAGAACTGAAAGCATACATTTTTAAAGAGTGAAACAAAAAGAGGGGTGAAAGTCTAAAGCTCCCATTAAAGACATGGACTAAAGACGTCTATTACCTTGGCCAAAATTACTACATTAATTGAAACTGACAACAGGATACTCAAATTAGAAAGAAACAGTTCCCCAAAGCCACAGACAGTTGGAAGTTTTTAAGGTGCATAAACGAAACATCTGAGCCCAGAATGATTACCAATATAGAAAGAAGAACGCCAGTAAAGGGTCAGCTTCACTGCTTTTCCTCTCTTTCTCGATTCCATTGCTCAATCCTGGCACGGCGTTCCTCGCTCCCTTCCCTGGCTGAAGGACTTCTGCTCCGCCTTGGACTGCCATGTCGTCTTCTCCCATTGTCTCTGTCTCTTTCTCGGTCGTACCTACACCATAGCGAAAACAACTAAGCTATCACAGACTCCCTAAAAAAAAAATGAAGCTTTAAGCCTTGTTTGGTGGGAGTGAAAAATGGAAAGTTTAAAATCCTCCAAAAATGAAAATAATAATAATAATAATAATAATAATAATAATAATAACACACCAACTTTGATCCCTCCAAATATAGAGAAATTAAAAGTTTAACTTATCCCCTTAATTGGGTTGTGTTTCAAATCACCCTATCAATAGGTAAATCGATAATGTACGAATGAAATCTTTTCCTTGCATCTCTATACCAAACAAGAAGATGATTTTTATTTCCTTTCCTTTCTTTCAGAGAGAACCTCTCTCTGGTCTCTAAATCTCTATAGATACCTCACCTAAGTCATTTACATCTTACCTCTCTCGCTTCGCAATATTGTCCACCCCTTACTCTCCGTTTTCTCAACCATACTATACAACTTCTCCTTCCTATTTTCTTTCCCTCTTATCAAACACAGTTAGACGTTAATAGTTATTTAGTTCTTCTTGGTGTCTTATACAAATTGTAAAGCAGTCCTCTAATCGGTCACATTTCTAGTAACAACTCTAATTCAGTTTCTAAAATTGAAGTCATACGTACCTATCGTATCTGTCCCTGCTACCGCGATGATCACGGTCCCGATAATCCCTTTCACGCCGATCGTTATCCCTCCGGTGATGACGCGGCGGGCTCAAGCTCCTGCTCCGGCTGCGGCTCACCCTGTAGCCGCGGTACCTCCCAAAGAGCTTCCGCCGCAGATCCCTCCCGATCAGCTTGACGTGCATGAAATTGCAGTATCCGCCTCGGTTGCAGTTGTTCTCCTCGAACTGGCGGCAGGTGGCCTCGCGGAAGTCGGTGACAGGGGAGAAATCGGCTATGATCGGGCGACCGTTGTAGAACCGGCCCTGGAGAGCCTGCAAGGCGGCGGCGGCGTGGTCCTCCTCCTTGAACTGGACGTAGACGTTGCCGATCATGTGGTCCGCGAGGTTGTCGCAAACGTTGAGGCTCTCGATCTCGCCGAACTTGCAGAGCTCCTCGAAGATGTCCTCGTAGAAGTCCTCGAAGTGCTCCTGGATCTTGTGCGGGTCGATCGGCTGGCCCTGGGCGTCCACTCCGGGGGTGATCATGTCCGGCCTCTGGTACATGTTGGAGAGAAGCAGCGTCGGCGAGATCGTCGGTCGGTTATGGAGGCGGGAGCACCGGTCGCCGTGGCGGCACGCGCCGATCTTGAAGTAGAAGGGGCAGTTGACGCGGTCCTTCTCGGTGCCGAAGATCGAAGCCAAGTGCTCCGCCATGGATTATATGTTGTCGTATCTTGCTTCTTCTTCCTTTTCTTCCCTAGATTCTCTCTTTGGAAATTGGGGGGAATGGAACCCTAAAGTTGCAGTAAGCCCTAATTCTTGAGGGACGAAGAAACCCTAATAACTTTGTAGTTGCAGGGGAAGACGCCCTCGGAAGAGAGAGAACCGGAAAGAAACGGCGAAAATCCACAATTCTGGAAGCTTCTTTCTTTGCTCGGATGAAGTATGAACCTCTCTAGTCTTTTTTATTGAAAGATAAATGAGAAATTACTCCTGCTTTCAAATCCGGTAGCTGGGCTGCAAACTATTGATGAAATGGCCCAATCCAGCTCCAACAGAAGCCCAAGTGAACTTTGACCTTAAAAGGCCGCATGCAATTTTTTTAAGAAAAATAGTAGGAAATAGATGAAAAGTTTAAGAAAGTATATAGACCAACTTTTAATTATAAAAGTTAATAGGTCATAACTTATTAAGTTATAGTTCATAATTAAATAAGTTATGAACAAACTTGTTAAGTTATAGTTCATAGCTAGACAAGTTATGGACAAAAACTGATAATAACTTGTCAAGTTATGATTCATAACCAGACAAGTTATGGACGAAAACAGTAATTTAGCATATTTATTAACTTATGTAAACTATTGAACTATTAATTTTAATTTATTTCAAGTCTTGACCTATTTCCCTCTTTCTTTCTTTTTTTAAGGCACGTTTGGTTCAAGACTTAAAAACATGATTCATCATAATAAAAAAAAATTCCAATTATTTACGAAAAGAATAAAAATCAAAGTTTGTGAACTAACATAATTGCACTATAAACTTATCATGATTTAATAAATTACTTTCTATATTTTTAATTTTGATAATTAATTTCTAAACTTATAAAATTGTTATAATATATTCATTTTACTAAATTTGTTCAGGACAAATTGTTAAAGCCATATAAATTTAAGAAGTAAATGTATAAAATACTTAAAAAAAAGAGCAAAGAAAAAGAAGAAGACAATGAAAAAAGTGAGGAGAAAGAAAATTGGGTGGCATTCAACAACTTTTATATATTTCTGGATTGATTTTTTTTTAGTTGAAATTTATGCCACATTATGTGATCTTTAACTACTTCATTTTGTGTCGTATCGTAGCATAAATTTAAAGTTGAGATGTTTGGCGTTCATCAAGAACAATAAAGGAAAAAAAAAAAAAACAAAGTAAAGCCAAATCCAATATTAAATGGAGTTGAAATGAATATTAAAACGATAGATTTATCCTTTAAATTTGAAAAACTAGTTTAAATTTATTCCCTCACATATTTTGTTGATTAAAAAACAAAGGAAAAAAGGAGGAAAAATACCCTTAATTAGATCGACTTTATTTCTAAAGAAAATTCCTCGAGGAAAATTTATATAAAAAAAAATGTTTTGTACATTAAAAAAAATGAGACTTTTCTTTTGAAATTGTCATTTATTTTAAAATTGTGTTTCTTAAATGTTTAAGGGGATGTCTATGGTAGGGGGCCTTGTTTTTCCCTATCAGTATGGTGATATCCAATAGTTATGAATAGCTAAATTGATGGGTCCCATTAAAATAGGCGGAAAAAATGTGAGAGAATGTAGGGGATTTGACTGAGAATAAGGTGAGTTAACGACGTTAAACTTTGGTCCGTTCAGTTTAAAATTTAAATTTTATTACAGTAAAAATTCTAAAAAACAGTCACATTAATTTATTACCACCTAAAATTACATATTCGAATCAGCGATGTAAACAACATTGTCCTTTATGTCATTTTGTTCTCCTAAAAGTCCTCGCACTTTGAAGAAAAAGGAGAAGGCTGCCAGATCGCGGATCCTAGATGATTTCCGGCCAGCGAAGCCCATTGAAAAATGAAACCCAATTAATCCTAAATCTTATTTGAAAAGGCACTCATCTTCATATCTGAACTAGAAGCTTTAAATCAACTACCACCAAAAAGCACTGAAATACAAAAACCCCAAATCTATAATAGAGATAAACAGACCATGACAAAAAACCCATATCTATAATCGAATTAGACGAATAAATGATAGATCTTAGAATATCATAACAGATACCTTCGCATGTACAGAAACTATTGAATCCAGAAAATAGACAAGAAAATTCGCTCCAAGAAGAAGGGAATTTCAATTTCTAAAATGGTCTAATTACAACAAACAATAGATATTTGACTAATTACACAAATTAATTTCATCAATATCACCTTCAACAATACACAAATCCATCATTTGGTTAATAATATGGTTTTTGTTTCTTGTATTTTTTTCAACCAAAGGAAATTTCCTTTCCCTCAACACACATAACAAAGGGAAAGAAGGGAAAGGCTCTGCTTGAGTACACCGGTTATAACAACGATGGTGTCAGTTTCGTCTCCTGCGAACGGCGTCCTGAGATTTGGAGGGCTCGTCGGCCATCTTGGCATCGGATTGGAGAAGGATGGTGGTGCCGACATTAGTGATGAGGTTATTTTCTGCAGAAATAAAGTTTTTAGTTTATTCACACTCTGATTTTGGTATGGTTTGATCTCACTAAGGTTTAAGGTGGACCAGTTGGAAATAGGCATGTTAAGATCACATTACATGAAATTTTCATGCTACACATTCACATCATGATCCATGTCATTCAATTGTATTGCCATACGTGACCATTGATAGGTTGAGTTACGACAGTTGTAATGAATGCCGCTTTGATCCTATGTTGGTACGATTGATGGACCGGATTGGTTACAGATACATTTCGGTAATGACAGCAAAGTTGAGCTCATACAATTATTTTGCAAAACATAATTATAAGGTTACACATATAGCCCAAGTGGGAGATTGTTGGATCTTTAATCCAACGTTAGGCTTATATGTGAATAATTATGTGTTGCAGGCTGTCATATAAGGTTAAACCCAATTAAAAGTGATCTACTAAGGTTTGGGTATTTTGAGTTTTAATGTATCTAATAGGGTGTGAGCCTTTAATGTGTAGAGACTTAAGGGTAATTTCTATTTTTATGATGGGCTAAAATAGAAATAGCAAAAGATAACAGGGAAGTTATCAATAAATGGTAGTTATGGTCCCCATATCACACGTAACATTTTCATTCCTTCTGACATCCCATCATCAGAAAGAGTACAGAGAGAAAGTTAAAGAGTTCTCTAGGAAAACGTGTTGATCTGGAAGACAAACTGCACGACTCTAGAGAGAAATCAAGCAATATGGATTCAGGTACGCTTCCGCTTACAGATTTATTAATTCTTCATGATCTAACATGAATGTTCTTGGCTTTTAGGTGATGGTTTTTACCAAATCTTTGATTTCTAACAAGTGGTATTAGAGACTATTCATGTTGAATCATTGAGAATCGAATTTATTATCGATCTATCGTGATATGTTTGGTGTTCTTGAATTTAACAATTTCAAGTTTGGGGTTGTTGGATTTTGAGAACAATTTTAGATATAATTTTATAGAACAATTTTGGGAATTTGGGTTTATGGAACCTAAATCAACACTTTGGTCGGCGGTAGCCTCTGCCGCCGCCAGCTCTGTGGATAAGGTGCGGCCTTCGGCCGCGCCGGCAAGGGACAGCTGCGGCCAAGCGGCAACCATGGCTGTCGCATAAGGAATAAAAAAAATGGAGATTATTCTGGATATTGAGCAGGTAGCCGCCCTTGTTGCTGCTGGCGTCTAGGTATTCCGGCGCAGCTTTTGGGCGGCCATAAAAGATGAACCTCGGCCGTCTGGCTGAGGTTTCTACAACTGGCGGCCGTTTGGTCACCAGTTCACTTAGGGGTCGTGACATGAGGCTAGGCTGTGGGCTTGGCCCACAGCCATTCAGCAAATAAAAAAAAGGGGAAAAGGGTTACTTGTGGTAACCCTGCGGAATAAAGAGGTGTGGGCAGGTTTAGGATCCGGGTTACGTTTACCCGACCCGGTCCAGCCCCTACATGGTCAAACTTTGACCATTGACTTGACCGGTCAAACGTTGATCATTGACTTTGACCAACGGTTGACTTTGACAAAAAAAAAAATTTCTTTCCCCTTTTGGTCATTTTGGTGCATTTTTTAAATTCAGATCTTGGTATGGTTATATATATTTTGAGATGAATTAATTAAAGCAACATGTCACCAAAGTGACCTCTCTTGTGGAAATTAATTTGTTTTGAAATATAAACGGTTGTGTATATGTAACTTATGTAAATATTGATTGGCCCAAAGGAATGTCAATATTTAACAGAATTACATGTGCACCTGTGGTAATAAATGCGTGATAATTATTCAGTTTTACATGTGAACAATAAATCAGCCCAAAGGAAGATTTATTGTTTGGGGTGTTCTTATTATCAGTGTTTGATTATTGCACCAAGATATCACTTGCAAGTTAATATTTTGTCCAAAGATGAAATGTTAATGGAGTGTCCGGTATCTTGAGATGGGGTTTACCTTTATTTGAATTTAATTTTTGTTTTGGGACTTATGTGAGTTTGTTTTGTTTATTTGTTTGCTGTTCTCTGTTTAGCTATGACTCCTGCTAATATTATTGCCAACATCAACTCTATTCCTATGCTAAATGGCTCTAATTTTAAGTCATGGCAAGAGAACCTCTTGATAGTTCTCGGAGTCATGGATCTCGACATTGCGTTAAGGGTTGATTCTCCTCCACCTACTACGATAAGAGTACCTCTGATGAAAAGAGGGATATGGAAAGGTGGGAGAAATCAAATCGCATGTGTATGACGATCATGAAGAAGGCCATTCCAGAAGCATTTAGGGGCACAATGTCTGATAAGATTACTACGGCTAAGGAGTTCCTTGTGGACATTGAAAAGAGGTTTGTTAAGAACGAAAAGGCTGAAATAGGTACGCTCTTGACAAGTCTAATTTCAATGAGGTATAGGGGCAAAGGCAATATCAAGGAGTACATCCTAGAGATGTGTCACGCCCCCCAAACGGGGTGGGTGACATGAAGCTCGATTTGGGATTAACAAAGTAGATTCCCAACCGGGCCCCACACTTAGCTGCATTAAAATATAAATAAATTACAGAATCCCGGAGCCTCTGACACACAGGGCTCCACCCCACAGAACATACAGTATCGTACATACATGCTCATGTAAATAATCATTACAACAGACATCAACCACAGTCTAGTTAATCCAAATATTACATAAGTTCACAAAATTTCTCAAATTCCTTACATTTGTTTAAGAG